TAAAGGATGTGAGATCAAAAAGGAAAAGAAAAATTTTACAAATATGAAATAAGAATTGCTACACTGCCATCACCACCATCAAAGAACATCCTCAGAAGTCAAAAGGGAATTCTATTTATTTTAAAGAACAGCACTAGGAATCAGGAAATCTGGGTCCTACTTACACTTCTTCTGGGGAATCTATGCTTGGCCTTGAGAAAGATATTTCAGTGCTCTGTGCTTCAGCTTCTCTGTAAGGCCAATCAAGATAATAATAACTCTACTTCACAGGCATCTTCTGAAGCTTAACTCATGGGTACTGAGCAAAGAGCTTTAAGGTCTTTCTTTATATAGAAACTATTACATGGAAGGAAAGACAAAAAGGAATGTAAAGATTTGGGAAACACTTGATAAAGAGATTCCACCGCTCAACTACTTCCTGGACATCACAAGAAAAGAACAAATAACTTTCTTTTCTGTATTTTATTTCCAAAAGAAGTGTAAAGCTTCCCAGCCAAATGGACAAAGAAGTTGCCCCTGCAAACAACACCATGTAAGTGGTAACAGGGAGCCCTGGCTGGCTGCATCCTTTCAACATTGTGTACACATCTGTGTTACCCCAGCAAGGTAACACCATTCTGCTGGGCTGATGAAAACAGAGATGAGGAGAAATTACGAATAGTTGAGAGTTGTCTATTTGCACGGACTCTTGATAGCAGCAGTTCAGGCAAGAAACCATATTGCTCTAAGACTCTGTTCCACCAATCCACAACCTTAGGCAACTACCTTTTTTGCTTTTGTTTAAAGTATGCCTGTCTTTCTGAAAATTTTAGTTTTCTAATAGTAGATGTGGTGGAATAGGCCTTGATAGAATAAATCCATAAACTAAATCAGAAAGAAAGAAAAAGAGATAAAAAATTAGAATGCTAAAATGAAGAGAATTATAAAAACAAAACAAAATTATTCTGATTTGATACAACTTTTCCAAACCATTTTACTTAGACATAAAAACAGAAGACACAAGATATCATGAGTCAGATCTGCAGAATCGAATAGGTTCGTTGATGTTTGTCACAACTCTTGTCTCTAGTAAGAGTTAAGAAAGAACTCGAACCAAAACTTCCCAAACTCTGGTTAGTATACTGATTAAAAATATATCTACCAACAACCCCAAGTGTTACCAATCCAAAAGGACTACCACAACTGTGTTCATCTATAGGACAGAGAGAACTCAATATGCATTCCAATGCAAATATATTTATAGCTGCTTATTTACATCATGTGGTGCCTTCCACTGTATTCTGCATATTTTTCTTATCTTGAACTATCAAAGTTAGCAGACAGTGGAAAGGTATGTATCTTTTCCTTATCTTATCCTGAACAGGCTTTGCTAACAAGGACATAAATTCTGTCTTTTCAATACCAAGCTACAATTAGCACGGAGGTCACGACATTGCAGTTAGCACAAAGGTCACAAGTAGTGTTGCCACTCAGGGGGTTTCCATACTAGAGCTAAGCATGAACTCAAAGCACTCTGGGCATATGGAAATGAGAAACCTTTTTTATGTCTGCATATATGCATGTCAAGAGTAAACATTTAAGGAATGAACAACATGATAACAAAAAAACTCCGTTCATAAGCATAAGAGGGATCAAAATATTTAACTGTCAGATAGGCAAAGAAGGTTTACCTGGTGGAGAGCACTGTAGTAAATGAAGTCTTGCCTTTTACATTTCATTAATTTTAAGAAGCTGCTCAGATTATTTGTTTACTTTAACCTGATGTCAGTTCTTTTGACAGTAAAAGAGCAAAATTTGTACTGGAGAGTAAACACCTCCAAAATTTCCAAAATATCTCAACAGGTTGTTTCTTTTTGGTTCTTTTTACATGGATAAACATCAAAAGGTGAAATATCTGGGCATAATTCACCCAAAGACTGGGAAGAAGTACCCAAAACACCCAGAACAAGCATTTTGCTGCAGGTGCACGTTACTTTTAAAACCTAGTCTCATGAAGATGCATTACAGGACAATATCATTCACTTATCCAAACTTTTCCAAAAAAAGCCTTGGATAGATTTAGCTAACTAAAGCTGAGTGCCAGTTTTCGCTGCACACTGGAGCAAGTACCCTCAAAAAACTCAGCCCACAGGACTGGCTCTGAAAGCAGGTGGAACTGAAGTGTTAACTGCAGTATCCAAAACACACGAACCACGAGAGGATTATACTGAGCTCTGTGACAACTACACTTGAGGGAAAAGAGAAAGGAAAGGGGTTGAAGGAACATGAAAGGAAAATGAACAAATTCAGATCAATGGGACAGACCTGGAGGCTTCTAAAGAGGATCTTTTAAAGAGCCACAGACAATGGCCACAGTCTAGACTGAACACACAGAGAAAAGTCAAGACAAATCACCACCATTAAAAGCTAAGTAATCACATCACATAACAGCAAGATTACAGCAGTAGTGTCTCTGTCTCTGCTCTGAGGTGAAATCACCTGGAATGTGACATTTGTTTCTGGGCACCTCCTCATCAGAGTGATTGGAGAGAGTTCAAAGAAGAGCCATATAAATGACCAGCGTGGTGGAAAGACTGAGCTATTAGGGAAAGAGATGAAGAGCTACATCTGCAATAGCCCAGTTACAATGCCAAGGGCTATCAGATGAAGGGAAAGGCATGAAAACAAGCTGCATATAATTGAAAGGTGCAAATGCCAAAAACAAAAAAGAGGAAAAAAAGAAACAAAAAGGGAAAGAAGAGAGGGTAGCTAATAATAAAAAAGTGTACTGATAAAATCAAGACCAGTAACATAAAGCTGACATTCCAAGGAGCAAAGAGCATAAACCTGAAGAGTAACATCCTTAGGGAAGGAACTGAAGTTTGACTGTGTATTTAAAACTGACCTAGACAAAACACTAGACATGTGATGCACACACCATCCGTCACTGGCCCTGGGAAGATGGGCTGAGCAGGTCTTGATTGTTTTTCCAGTTTGATGACTCCAAGGTACACTGTGTTTTTCTGGCCTAAAAGCCATCCATAAAAATATGGAAACCCATGAAACACACTTTGGTGGGTTAGAAGATGATTAACCAGAAGGAGACCAAATTCATGTTCATTGGATAATCCTGTGAATTAGGCAGAGCTGTATATGAAAAAAGAAGTAAAACAGCAAGGAGCAAAACCTAGCCAGCTGAGGAAAGGACTTTTAGTGTCAGACAGTACAACGATGAACAGCCACACAGCAGAGTGGATAATCCATTGTGTAAAAAGTGAACAGCATGTATGGATCAGGCAACAAGTTGTGAGAATGGAGTTGGGGAAATGACTTCAAAGGATACATGACCTCCTGAACCATGAGCTGGCTAGGCTGTGGAAAGTTTAAATGCTTGCATCACAAATCCAGTAACCTGATTGTGCAAAAAGGGAGCTAGTCTCTCTTGAAAGCATCCTAAGAAGGTCAGTAACAGACAGACAGAGTGAGCCTTGAACCTTTCTATACTATTGAATGGATTTAAGAAAATATAAGAAAAAAATAATACTCCACTTACTTGAGTATTAAAACACTGCAAAAAGCTGCACACACAGACAAAAATTATAATAAAGTCATGCAGGGGGTGGCAGTGGAGGGAGTGCAAGTGTCTGGACAAGATGAGGTGAAACACTGCTGTCACTTCCCATTCATAAACCCCCAGCAGCAAGGAGTTCAGACAGGAAAACCACCAGCTAAACCTGAGACATAGAAATTATTATGTAAACAAACCAGATCCTGACTGATTTCAGCCTGCACTGGAAATAATCCTTAGTTATTAAAACTGGAAAGTAAAGGACTTAGGGGTGAAAAGCAAGGGGGAGGTAGAGACAGAAATAAACTTGTTTTCACTGACAGTTTACAGCAGTGGTGTTATCAAAGAGAAGAATTAGGTTAGTGGTATCTTCATTTGAGTCATGTCTGTTTTTACATTTTATGGAAGCAAGGGGAAAAAAGACAACTTTCTTTGACCAGGGACACTAACTGATTTAACTCCTCTATGCTTACTTCAGACTTGGTGCTGCCACGTAGCCCTGACAAGGCAGCACCTTCCCAACACTGCTAGCTCGGCCTGAGGTCTTATGGGTACAGCTCTGCTGACTGTCAGATCCCTCCATGTTGTGAAGGAATAACATCTCATGGAGTTTCACAATACAAAGATCATATTGGCTTCTGAGTTATTTTTCTGCTAGCATTCCTCATTGGTCAGGTATGATATCCAGAAGACTCTTTCCCTTTGCTCTACCTTCAGGAACACAACTTCAAATTCGGCATCAAAATGCATTTTTGCAGAAGTCGAGCTGGTTGTACCAGCAATAGTGCTTCCTGTACAAAATGGTAAACATAAATGAAGCACTGATTACTTTGCAAATCATCCCCTGAGGCTTGAGGTCCAATGAAACAGTGATTTTAGAGGCAATATCAGATAAGGTATTCTCATTACTCCCCAGGCCATTGCAACAAATTACTCCCCAATCCCTGCAAAAATTTATGATTTAAAGAAAGATTGGTTGTCTCTGCTCATAGCCCAACTCTACAAACAGCTGTGCTGGCATGAGTGGGGGAATTGTGCAATATGCTGGCAAATCAGAGCAGCCGAAGAGGGAAATGTTTTCCACTGGTTTGGTCCCTGAAGCCCATGTGTCGACAAACCACAGCCTGTGCACCTTATTAGCTTTCTGCAGGTCCCTGCTAACTAATGGTATGTACCTGTCCATCTGCAGAGCCAAAAATAGCTACTTTTAAAGAACAGAAATGAATTCCTGCTGAGCCTGACAGAAGACAAGCCCGCTATGTGTCTGCCTGGTACTGTGGAGTCCTGTGACAAAGGTGGCTTGAGGCAGTGCATTTATTTTCCAGCTGATGTGCACTGATAACCTGACCTCTACACTTACAAGATTCGTGTAATATTTCATCACTTACCTCAGCTTGTACTGGCCCCGTATTCAAAACTCCCATGTACGTCACAAAGGACCTTCCAAGCAGCTGACAGACAAAACACTTCTGACACCCATTCTGGGTAGGATAACACTTAAATATGAGGAGGAAATACAATGCTGCTCACTCCCCCAAGTGCAAGCTAATTTTAAAGTTAATACTGTAAGTCCTTATTGATACGATGTTTTAATTACCTTCAGCCTGTCCAAACCAGCACTCCTAGCTCTATGTGTACTGCTGATATGACTGACAGCTGAGAGCTTTTCTAAACACCAAGCATAACATTGCAGTCACTAGCGACTCAAACTGCCTAAAATGTGTGATTTTTATCACTTTGACAAAACTTATGACAACTCTCTTTTAAGTGTAAAGGGATTTTGAAAATTTACTAAGATTTGTAAAATAAGCCTACCTAAAAGTTTGATGTGTGTATGCAAATTGATCCTCAACATCACAGACTACAACTTCCTCGTGAGAGGTGGAAGAGGGACAGACACTAATCTCTTCTCTGGGGTGACCAATGGCAGGATCTGTGGGAATGGCCTAAAGTTATGTCAGGGGAAGTTTAGGTTGGGCATTAGAAAAAGATTCTTCACCTGGGGGTTTGGGCACTGGAACAGGATCCCCAGGGAAGTGGCCACAGCACCAAGCCTGACAGAGTTCAAGAATTGTTTGGACGATACTCTCAGGCACATGGTGTGACTCTTGAGGAGGGCCCTGTGCAGGGCCAGGAGTTGGACTCAATGATCCTTGTGGGTCCCTTCCAACACAGCATATTCTGTGATTCTGGGATATACAAAGAACAGTCTGAGTTTGCCTCCGACCAACATTAAAAAAGGTCTCTCTGCTCACAGAAACAAGCTTGGGCCTCCTTTGCTGAGTTTATATAGCCTCCCACTCAAGCCTGGGAAAACAGATTTTTCCCCCAATATAACAATATTTGACTTTCTCTGAGGAAGGGTACACCAATGTAGCCAGTGAGATAAGGCATGCAAGCGAATCAATGGCAGAGCTAATCAGGCTAATTCAGCTGTTAAGAAAGCAACCAAATCCCATAAAGCTCCTCAAAGGTCAAAAAGTATCTCCTAGGTTATGCCTGAGAATGACTTGGAAGTCAGTGTCATCCAAAGAGTGTTAATATATTAAATTCAGTGGGAGAAAAAATTTTATGCAAGCAAGAACTCGCTCTGTATATGAACTGAAGTTTTTAAACCATCCCCCACAGAGACAATCATAGTAGGATTCACAATGAGAAAGATCTTGTTACAATTCCCCACCAGATACTAATGCAAACAACACCATGTGTCTATATTCAGAAAGCATCTACATTTCTGACAAGTCTAAGATTTCTGAGACCAGAGCAACAAAAGACAGTCAAATGCAAGTTAAGGCTTAATTTCCAAATACAGGTATCTTGACATCCAAAAGGTGCAAAGTTTTTTGGGCTTTTTTCTGGCTCATGGAGTATTAGGTATTAGAATACCTAATCTTTATTTTATGTCTGGTTCAGTTTCTGCTAAAATAAGCAATGCCGGTGGATCCAAATGGGAGTCTACGACATTTCAAAAAACTTTAACCATTATTGGGCTTGGCTGGCTATGATACACAGAGATGATTTTTCAGGCAGAAGCAATGAACATGGCTCCACCCAACGTAAACTGTGGTCCTGCTAGAGCAGTCCCTTTAGTAGAGACCTGTACACCCTCCCCTGTGTACCTGACCGTCTGTATACTGCCAGTGTAGGTGCACCTACTGCTGGTGCAACAGATGTTAAAGCAGGAAAACCTGACTTCCAGGGCAGAGGGATTAATGGAGCATTAACACCAAGGCCCCAGTTGTGGCCATTTAAATGCTAACAGCTTTAACTAAGTTATCCAAAACACGAGCTTACAGTGTGTGCCACTAGAACTTTATTATAGGACATTTGGGGCCAAAACTTGCCCCAGGATACGGATGAAGTCATCCTGATGATGCTAATGGAAACCCATGTGCTATATAATAATAAAAAGCACCTGGTTCTAAATAGGGCTATTTTAAATCAGTATGTAACAGGTTATCTTTTACTGAACAGTCCCTTTACTATTTACATTAAGAAGAATTGATCATGTCACAGTTGCTTGGACGCATCAGCTGGGCTTCTTCACTAACATCCCCACAAAAATGGTTCAAGAAAATCTTGGTTTTAAAGCCTAGCAGGTTGAATTAATGTTCTGTTAAATCTGGCAGATTTTGTCCATGGCTCTTTATTGACCCTTGCATTTCCCCTTCTGACACTGTTGTGTTGCACCTTTTCCCATCCAAAGTCCAGAGATGGTTTTTGATTGAGGAGAGTGTATTTTCACCTCCTCTTCACCTCCCAGAGCAGTATTTCAGGGCCCATCATGAGGTGTGCCATTAAAGCTAAAGCATGCTCATGGCTCCTCTCACATTGCAGCAAACAGATCTGTGAGATTTCAAATCTGCTGCGCAGCAGCAGGTAAACACAGCTTTTGTTTTAGCAGCTCAGTTACAGCTAAGTGAGCATCTGCCCTGGCTGATGCTGTACACAATAAACCTTCTATTTCAGAGGAGTATAATTGTCATTGCATTTCGTTGTCCTTTGAAACTTGGAGCAGGAGGCTTCAGCCTGAGGGTCCAGTTCTGTCTTTAAGGCACTAAAAACCCCACATCCTTCACTGCTTACTATCAT